ATTTTCCTCTTTTTCATAATCACCATCTTTTCTCTTACCCAAACTTATTTTACAGTAATTTTTGTCTTTCAAACAGTTTCTAGAGACTAAAATATGTTACTTTCTTTAGGAATTAATTATGATAGAAATGCAAATCTTTAGTGCTAGGGAAAATGGGAATGTGGTTTTTTAGAATAACATGCTATTACATTATTTGATAATCACTTTGAAAACTCAAAGCATACAACCTTTTACTATTGCTACCCTGCCTAAAAACAAATTTTCTAACACATAGTAAAGGGTTGAAATTTTTATACAGGTTATGTGAGAAATAAAAGAATATGAAGACAGGCTTCTGATTTACTCCCTGTGTTGGTAATTAATTATGTGGTATTTGATAGAAAAAATGGAACTAGTCAATATAACACCATTATCAGAAATCAGATTCAAATGCAACACCCCCAACTGTACTCTCATACTTGTCTAATCAAACTTTCCAAGTGAATATTAGTCTCTGATTTTAAGAAAGTATTTCATTTAAATTGCATGTAATTTAAAATTCCCCATTTACTAACTGGAGATTTCCTGGGATTAACACAATAATATTCACTGTGATGGTTTGAAGTTTGGAGGTCTTTTGTAACATAATTACCATTTGTAGACAAAAAAGTGTTTAGCATTTGAGGACTGTTTAAGTGTAGAGAATTACAAATCACCTGGCAAATAAAAATCCTTCCTCTGTATCATCTCAAACAATAGAGAACCTTTAAAGAAATTAATCGCCTATCAGGAATTTTCATTTTAATAGTTTCCTTAATTACAAATTATAGTTTAATATTGTTTTTAGAAAACTAAATGTTACTTTACACATAACATTAAATCTGGGCCTGAAATTAAAATTTAAATATCAATGTTGTTTGTCCATTCAATAAATGTTTATTGAGATCCTACTATGTGAAAGGCATTTTATGGCACTTGAAGGCTACTTAGTAAGTCTGTTACCCTTTCTTAAATGGAATTTGCCAAAAGCCAAGAAAGGTGATGCTCCAATTATAAAAACTCAATTGAAATAATAACTTTAAGACACCACTTATGACACTGGGAATACTATAATAATACACGTGTGATATATGTGTATATCTAAAAAAATACCCAGTATAAGATACATAAGTATGAATGAATATATGTCTTTATAGATATAATAGCAAAATTAGTATGCCAAAATAACATGCAAGTAGCTCAACTTTTAAATTATTTTACCCAAACTGGAATAAATAAATGTGTTCCTATCAAGTCTCTAGATAAAAGGTCTGGATTCTTGGAGACCAAATAGGTAGAAAAACAAAACAAAACAAAAAACCCTTTCTAATTAATTAAGGAACCACATTGTTGTAGGAATTGTCTGTAAGTATAGTCTATCATATAAAGTAGAAACTGCCTTTTCCTAACTGAAGTTTTCTAACTTAAGTAATGTAAAAGCAAGACTAAGTATTGATTATGGCTAGAAATAATTGCTGGATCTGAGCCAATATACCGTTTAAAACACCATTTGCAGAGGTCAAAACATAAGTTAAGAAAATACATTGTGAAAAATGACCATGTGGCTTATTCTCCCTTAGTTTTATGCACATATCTGATTAAAATGTATTTTGATTAGGGTTGTTACAGTGTCTACCAACAAGATAATCAAGAGTGATTTATTTAAAAGGGATAAACATGAACAATATTAATCTCTCTATATATAGCAATTATTGTTCTAAATATTTCCTTCTGGGTATATACTTTTAAAAGGTAATATAAAATGTAGGCTCATATGAAAGGAAATCAACAAAACAGTTAAGAAATGAAACAAAGAAAAAAATTTTAAGACCTCTTCCTACAGAAGAGAAAAATTATTTATATTTTTCATTATACTTAGGTCATAGGTCAAATCATAAAATATTTTCCTTGAGCTTCTTATGGTATTCATCAGATGATTAGCTCAGAGGAATAGCTGAGCTATCCCTGATATAACTGCTATTATATTAAGAGGAATATTAGGGAATCTAGGTGTAATCTTATTCAACAAGTACTAGATTTATTTTTCAACATGTTATGAGAAAGTTGAGCAGATTGAAAGAGAAAATATCTAGCAATAATATATCACTGTTTTAAGAAATTTCAAATTTTCTTTTCATTAAGTTAATCTAGGAATTCTATTTTGATTATTTTCATCACTATTCTTTTTTGCACAAAAAGATGAAAAAAAACCAAACAAACCTCCCAAACAAACAAAACCAGCCCAGTTGATCTTTAACAATTTTTGGAACTAAAGCATAATAATGTCCAATTACCTAGAAGTACAAGAATTACTACAGTGTGCAGCACTTTACAAATTGTCTTGAATTGCATATATACAGAGGGAAAATGTTAATGCATGAATTGTATCATGAAGATTTCCTAATATTCTTCCTATTCACTCTTCATAGAAATTTACGAAATATTCTTCCAATACATAATTTGTAAGAAAAAGTTTTATATCTGGCAAATAAGTTCATACTTATTTAGATTCACAAGATTTTCTCCTGATTATCACAATTATAATTATACATGGCTATATTAAGTTACTTTCAGAGATGATTTTTATCTATGAAAAAATTGACTTCTATATCCATGCTTAACGGCACTATGTTACTAACAAAAGTTCATTTTTAGATTTTGTTGCTTGTTTCCTTTTTTTGAAGTAATGTATTCTTATTTTTTTTATTTCAAAGGTTTCTTCCAAATGATTGTTTTATGCAACTATCAAGAGGTTATCTAAAATTTTGCTATCAAATATTATAGACTACTACTGTAAGGTAGTAATCATGGAATCCTTCTGTTCATATAAATTAATTCCATCAAAAGAACTAAGCTTCAATCCATTAAAAATAAAACAAATGTATTATTAAATAATTTAGTGCATTAAGACTTGACTGCATTTTTGAAGAAGGGAAGTTTCACATTGATCTTAACTCAGAAACACTGCACATTAGGAGTCTGAGCAGCAATTGGGTATTGAACTGGTATTCCATTGTATTAGTATAGAGATAAAATATACAGTGAAATGGAATATATGAAGCAATGTGATTTTGCTTGAATGCAATTTTCAATTTTACACATAACAATGAATTAAGCATATAGCTATGATACGTTCAGAGTATCAATTATTACTATCCCAAAAGGAAGAGATCACATAGTACATATAAACATTCATATATTGCAATAAAATTTTCTAAATTTATTGATGCTACTAAGGAGAAAACATTTTCTTTAGAGCATCTGGTCAATTTAAATTTTCTTCTACTTCTTATGGTCTGTTAGATTTTAATGAGTTTCTATGTCCTTTCTTTTTTTCTATACCATATTATTATACAAGTATATGTATGAGCATTATAATTCTATTGTGAATTTCTACTGAATTAGTGAGATTGTTTCCATTCTTGTCTGGGTTACAAAAATATTTGGATTGCTTTTGAAACTAAAGACGTTTCTTTTGTGAAGAGAGAAATAGGTAGAAGTAGGGCTCCTTCATCTTTTTTACTTCAAATAATTATATTTTTTCTAATCATCACTTTTTAAATGATGCTATTTCTGCCATGAATACCAAGTCTGCACCTGCAATTTGCAAGTTATTAAACCAAAACCGCAAACTTGCTTTGTAACCATGCCTGCTATGTTAAACATTATCTACAGATACATTCTAATTTCAATGGAAAGTATGTGACTAGTTGACTGATGTAGAAGGAAACTATGTTAAACTACTATCTTTGTGACCATGGATCTTATTTCCAATCAAATGCTGTGCTCACGTGGAGTGAATTTCACAGCTTGACGGTGCTCTGTGTCCTGTTACGCTAATTAAACAATCTAGGTCCAATTCATTTTTGTTTATATGCATATAAAAAGACAGCTCCTTCCAATCTACCTAAATAATACAAATTTCCAGGGTGGATTTTGGGGAAAAAAATATACCTGAAGTCCTGAGTCAAAAATGCATTCGGGTATCTCTTGGGATTAAGGAGTTAAAGTTACATACATGCCATAAAGCAAAGGGCTAGTTTAGGTGTTATCACCAGTCCTTCCATGTGTAACACTAACACATGGTTTTGGCCTTCAAGATGAAGATGTATTAACGTTCATTTGTCACTAGAGCCAACGTTATCAGGGTCGCTGGATTTGGTAGACCTTCTTTCCACGCGATCTACTAACTTTGAGCAGTTTCCATAATGGGAATTAAGCGGCTAGAAGAGCTGCAGCAGAATTGATAAGTTAGCAGAACCAACTGCAAGAAGCCATGCTTCATTACCCCACCCTCCATTCTTAGGAAGCCCAAACATGCCGCCAACGCCGGGGCTCTTAAATGAGTTAAGTGCTCAGGGAGGATTCGTTCAGGTAGACAGAATGAGGGAGAGGCCACGGATGTCATCTTCATCCGCAATTCACCAAACATCAGCCACTACCCTCTTCTCTCCCGCAATGGCCTCATTGGCAAGTGTGCAGGCCGAGAAAGGAAGAGGCTGACCCGACGCCCCCGTCGTGCGCGTGCGTGTGCGCGTGCACGGCACGGCGCGCTCCCCATCCTCGTGCTACTGCCGAGGCTCTCCAGGGTCTGGTCTCCCTCCCATCCCGCTCCGCTCCACCCTCAGGGATAGGAATGGGGGAGGGGAAGAAGACGAAGCGACGGAGGGAAGGGGAAAAGGAAGCCGCGCCGTCGTGCCGGCGGCGCGCACGTTCTGCTTCCCTAACCCCTCCCCCTTTTCCCTTCCTCCTGGGGGCTGAGGCGGGCGCGCACGCTGGATGACGCTAAGGAGGAAGCGAGCTCCCTCTCTCCCCTCCCAGGCTCCCCGCTGCCCCGCGGGAGCCCCCCAGTGCGCCTGTGCGGAGGCCTAGTTGCTATGTGTGTCCTCTCCAGGTTCCTGTGTTAGCATCCCGGGTGGAGGTGGGGAGGGGAGAGAAGGAGAGGAGGAGGCGAAGGAGGAGGCGAAGAGGGGGTGGGGAGGGGGGAGGGGGTAGGGAGTCAGCACGGACATGGCTCCTGACTCCAGTGCAGAACGTGAGTGACTGAGCAGCAAAGCCCGAGTGAGCGAACAACGAGCGAGCGGGCGGGCGGGCGGGCTCGGGCTGGGGGGTGGAGTGCGGGGGGAGGGGACGAGGGGGAGGGGAGGGCGGCGGCGAGGCTCGAGGTGAGGAGGGGGTCCTCGTGAGCGCCCTCCCCCCTCAATGGTCTTTCTCCCCTCCCCCGCAGATGGTCTCTAGCGACCGGCCCGTGTCACTGGAGGACGAGGTCTCCCATAGTATGAAGGAGATGATTGGAGGCTGCTGCGTTTGCTCAGACGAGAGAGGCTGGGCCGAGAACCCGCTGGTTTACTGCGACGGCCACGGCTGCAGCGTCGCCGTGCATCAAGGTAAACACTCCATCAACAGCCCGCCCGCCCGGCCTCCCCCCAACCGCCACCCGGAGCCCCGCCCGCGGCGCTCCCGGCCCCCCGGCTCCTCTCGGCCCGGCCCGGGGGCGGGGGGTAGAAGTGCGTGTGGCCGCGCTGTCAGGGGGCGGGAAGCCCCTCGGGCTGCGGGCTCCCCGCGGCGGGCTGTGGAGCAGGCCGGCAGGGGAGGGCGGGCGGCTGCGGCCGCGGCCGGGCTCGGGGCGGTGGGCGGGGGCCGCTCCGTGCGCCCCTCCTCTCGGTGCCTGCGCGGGGGGGGCGGGGGGCCCGTCTTCCCGCCCCTTTGCCTCTGGCTGGCTGGCTGTCTGGCAGCCGCTCGGCAGACTTCCTGGGCTGTGGGGAGGAGGGCTGCTGGGAAGCGGGGGTTGCCAGGCTGCTGTGGGTTACTAGGGAAGGAGGCTGCGGCGGAGCCTGCGGCGCCCGGGGCGGCGGCTGCTGGTGCTGCCCGGGCCGCCGCCGCCGCTGCCGCGGCTTGGGCGCGACCGGGGAGAGGCTGCTCCGGCCGCCGCCACCGGCGCCGGCGCCGAGTGCTCGGGGCTGCTGCGCGATGCGGGCGGCCGACCTTGACCGACGCTCGGACTGCTGACCAGAGAAGATGAGCCTGGTGTCAGGCGCCCAGGAAGTAGTTTGCTTGGGATGTTTGTTTGGGGGTCTTCCGTCTTGGTGAGTCGTAGGATCCCCTAGCTGACGGGGATGCACGTGGGGGAGGGGGATTGGGGAGGGCTGTCATGGAGCCCCGTGGCTGGCTGTAGTATTTTGTGGGCTAAAGAAATTAGGCAGAAACGGCTTGGGTTCAGCGATCCTCACCTCAGGTTATCTACCGATTTGTTTGTACACCATCTTCGAAAATCTTTTGCAGGTTGAGACATATTAGAGTAAGGATCCAGTACCACAGTGATGAACATGAGTAATCTGGTGCTCATGTGCCTTTAAAGAGGTAGAAATTAGCTTTTCTTTTTGAAGAGTTAAGTCCTCTCAAAAGAACAAATTAAGTGCAGGCATCAGGAACATTAGAAAACAAGAAAATACAGCTTTGATGCTTTGGACCTGGTTTTTTTTGTATCATGTGGAGTTAAGATTTCCATGGGCAATTAGGGGGAAGTGTGACATGTACTTTATGAATTTATCATGTAGTTATCTTACTTCCCATACTTGAATATTTATATTTAGACGTTACTGGTTCTCCCCCCCCCCCCAAGCCCTCTTCTAGGAGGTGTAACTTGGGAGAATTTGATCGTATTCCCTTAAGGTACATTTTCTGAGTAAGCAGGGAAAGAACAATTGAGATTTGGCTTTTAATACGTTGTAATTCTGCACAAATTTTCTTCATGTATTTAAATACAACCTATATTTACAGATGCTTAAAGTAGTGGTGTTAGTAGAGCAGGATAGTGTTTAATAGTATGGAAATGTTCCCCTTTTTCTCAGGTGACTAGTTCAGTGTCTTTTCAGCAGTGAAGAGATATGTTCAATTATTACATAAACAGTTTAATACTAGAATGCTCATCAAATGTTGAGGCCTTTAACGACTTAAAAATATTTACTTAGGACTAAGTTGTGATATGTAATTCTATTTTTTAGCATGAGGGCATGATATATATGGGTATGAAATGTTGATAAAAATACGTTACTAAACTGAAATGTTTGATAGACTTTTAGCTGAATTTGACATTGATAGAAGTCATCTTACTAACTAGCCAACGTGAAATATGTTTCTTTGAAAATGTTCAGTTATATTTTGAATAGTATAATCTGCCTTACCCAATTTGAGAACAGAGGTGAGGGCTTAGAGTTTATTGCACACCTGCTGTGTTCTTTGTACTGTTGTTTTTAATCTTCTGATATTGTATGTCGCTTTGAATCTGAGATTTATCATCATGTTTATTAGTAACTTCATTAAAATCACGTAGTTGAAATTTCAGGTGAAGTTATGGCTCTAGCTTTTAACTATGTGTAGATATGCATATATGTATATATGCATTTAGAAGTAAAAATAGAATGATAGTAATTCAGAGCACTATGTTTTCAAGAGGTTAGAGGTATTGGAGCCAACTATGTATTTCCATTTACATATTTAAAGTTAAGATTAAGTAATATTTTAGCATGACATTTAGTTTTTTCTTTTTGTCCTATTAACTTAGTTTTAAAAGGTGTTTTGAAAATCTTCATTTAATTAAAATGTAATGTGGAACGCTTGCTATGCCTTAAGTTTATGCCAAAACGAGAGGATGAAGTTTTGAATTTTTATTTCTCAGAAAAATCTCATGAATTGTGTTAATTTTGACACACTGGTGGTCTTTCCTTTACAAAGAGCTATTTAACATGAGTGGCATGTTTTGGTACTGATTAAAAAGCAATGTTATGTTTAAAATTTTAAAATGTAATGCTTTGTTTTTCTTGTTAACTAGAATATTTCAAATCATCATTTATATATCCTATTCTATTGAAAAGTAGAACAGGTTTTGAAAGGTTTTGATTTTCTATGTTTTTGAGATATATATATATATATATATACATATGTATATATATATACACACACACACATATGTTAAAAACTGTTTTATTTTTATTCTAACAGCTTGCTATGGCATTGTTCAAGTACCCACTGGACCTTGGTTTTGCAGGAAATGTGAGTCTCAGGAAAGAGCAGCAAGAGTGGTAAGGGCTGTGTTCATTTAAAACATTAACCTATTGTAGATACTGCAGTTTAGTATAACCTTGCAGTTTTTCTGCACTTTGTGTATTGTCAAATTTCTGTTTAAAGTCTTATAGAATTAATTTGGACTGAATGTTGAAATGTGGTTTTTAAATAGATTTGAAAAAATGAGAAACTTGGAAATGTTTGAACAACCCAACTATTTATTGACTTCCTTTGAACACCTAAAAGCAGTGAAGTTAAAATTGGGATTTATTAGCAATTTCTCTGGATTGAAAAACCCAGAAATGGATATAAAGGTTGAATCAACTGATCACATTTGAACTGTATGTAGTAGGATAACTAGTTAATATGTTGACTTTGGTCTTTTTTAATGAGGAAATATTCCGAATTTCGATTTAGACTTTATTCTTTTTATTAAATCTGTAGACATGTTGCATTACTCACATTGAAATACACAGTATGTTCATATATTGCCACATTTGACATAAGTTTAAAAAAAACCCTTTTCACTTGATTATCCTTTTTATATTCTTTATAGTATTCCTGTGGTAGAATATGATAAAAGCAGTTCTCTAGTAATGTTTTTGGGAACCCTGAAGAGATAGATTAAGTTTCATTATTTTTATTTGTGTATTACTTTGTGCAGTGTGATCCTTCTTTGTTCTTAATTTTGGGTGAAGAAGTTGGTAGAAAATAGAAAAGCATTTTTATTCTCCTTCCAGGCCTCCAGCAAAAGCAGTTCATACTTTTGTGTTTGGGCAATGTTTGGTCATTAAGAACAACAGGTACACTGATTGTTCAGAAGTATATTGATCATAGCAGTATTTGGTGTATATATTTTGTGAAGAGGAGGAAAGACACAAATATGACCCAGAATAGAAGTATAGGAATTAGGATGTGGTAGGAGAAGTTAACCTTAAAATTTTGATGACTTGGAAGGTTAATTATCTTAGTCTTTTTGTTTATGACCAAAGTGATGGATTGGGGGATATGATGGTACACAGCAGAAAGGGTGATTAAAATTCTTTTGATGGGAGGGCTGCATAATGCTCATAGATACTGTTTGGGAAACTAAGAGATGTATAAGGGAAAATAATAATCATAAAAGGTAACATTTGTATAATGCTTACTCTGCCAGGCACTGTGCTAAACACTTTACAATTATTATCTCATTTGATTCTCATAACAACCCCTGGGAGGTAGGTGCTACTATGATCTCTGTTTTACAGATGAGAACACTGAGGTAGACAGAGCTTAAGCAGACAGAGGCTAAGTGACTTGCCCATAGTCACTCAGTAAGTGTTGGAGGCCACATTTGAACTCAAGTATTACTGGCTTTTTATCTACTTTGACACCTAAGAAAAGAAAGGGAGAAGAATAGAATTGGGGGGAGGGAGAAAGAGAGAAGAGAAGTGAAAAGCCTCTAATATCTGCTTTAGGTTCCCTATACCTCTTATCTTTCATCAAAAAGTAAGTGGGATTGATAGGATAGAGTGGATAATTTTTAATAATCTAGTTATTTTGTCTGCTGAAAGTTCATTATATAGGAATGAAAGACATTTGCTAGATTTTCTTTTTTTTTTAATATTAGTTTATTTTTTCCAATTATATGTAATGACAATTTTAGATATTTGTTTTTACGAAATTTTAAGTTCCAGATTTTTCTCTCTTTCTCCCTCTCCCTAAAATGGTAAACAATTTGATATAGGTTATTTATGTACAATCATGTAAAAAATTTCTATATTACTCATATTATAAAAGAAGAAATAGACCAAAAGGAAAAAACTACAAAGAAATAAAGTGAAAATAGTATGTTTTAATCTGCATTCAGACTACAACAGTTCTTTTTCTGGATTTGGACAGCATTTTCCATCATGAGTGCTTTGGAATTGTCTTAGATCATTATATTGCTGAGAGGAACTAAGTCATTCACAGTTGATCATTGTACAGTATTGCTGTTACTTGTATACCGAGTTCTGGTTCTGCTTGTTTCACTTTGCATCAGTTCATGTAAGTTTTTCCAGGTTTTTCTGAAAGTATCCTGCTTTTTATTTTACTTGTTTATTTTGTGAGCCAGTTGAGGTTAAGTGACTTGCCCAGGGTCACACAGCTAGTAAGTGTGACGTGTCTGGTCTGAGACCTTATTTGAACTCAGGTCTTCCTGACTCCAGGGGCTGGTGCTCTATCCACTGCTTCACTTAGCTGCCCCCATATCTTAGTCTTTGTTAAAAAAAATTTTTTGTGGTGGTGGTAGTGGTGGTTATTATTATTTTAGGCAGTGGGGTTAAGTGACTTGCCCAGGGTCATACAGCTAGTAAGTATGTGTCTGAGGGCGGATTTGAACTCAGGTCCTCCTGAATACAGGGCTGGTGCTCTATCCACTGCGCCAGCTAGCTGCCCCTAAAACAATTTTTTCTTATTTGCCGGTGCTTATTCCTTCATTTTTCCTTTTTTTCTTTTCTTTTCTTTTTTCTCACTTAATAGTATTTTATTTTTTTCCAATTACATGTATCATTTTTTTCTTACAGCTAGCAATTCTAGCACTTTTTTTTTTTAAAGTATAGGCAATGGGGTTAAGTGACTTTCCCAGGGTCACACAGCTAGTAGGTGCTATGTGTCTGAGGTGGGATTTGAGCTCAGGTCCTCCTGAATCCAAGGCCGATGCTCTATGTACTGTGCCATCTAGCTGCCATGCAGTTCTGGCACTCTTGTTGAATAGTAGTGGTGATAATGGGCATCCTTCCTTTACCCTTAACCTTATTGGAAAATCTTCTAACTTTTCTTCATTATATATGTTTATTCTTAGATTTATATAGATAGTATTTACTAGATTAAGGAAGAGGGAAAGCTTACATTTGAATTGGGGAGGCAACATGTAAATAAATTAGTATATACAAGATACATAGTAAATGGAAAGTAACTTGGAGGGGCTGCTGGGGGTGAATGGGAAAGGCCTTTAAGGGTTAAAGCTAGGTTTTGCAGAGACTTGAATACTGGTCAGAGGAGATTATACTTTATAGGCTGTGAAGATTTTTTTCAGTTTCTATTGGATAATTAAAGTATGCTTTTGAATGATTATTTTGGCAGCAGTGTGCAAGATGAGTTATTGTACTATATGTGAAGTGAGCCCTAACTGGGTGGGTTGCTGACAGTAGGATTCTTTTCACTGATAACTTTTTATTTATATCATCTTCATTTCCTAAATTGTTATCCCTTTCCCTCTTTATCTAACTAGCCATCCCTTGAACAAACCTGAGGGGGGAAGGGAAGGGAACAGAATAGGAATGTGAATGGGAAGCACTTCTGGAAAACTAACCAATGCATAAATTAAGTCTGACAGCATAATGGAATTTTCACACTCATAGTTTCCCTGCCTTTTCAAAGGAGGATGTTGCTTTTTCTCACTTCTCCTGGGCAGAGTTTCTTGGTCATTATATTGAACTGGTTTTCTTTCCATTTATGTTGTCACTTTGCATATTGTTTTTATTTTTGCTTGTCACTGCATCAGTTCATATAAACCTTTCCATACTTCTCTGAATCTTGTTTCTTAGTTTTTGCTACTTCAAAAAGAGTGTTACTGTAAATAATTGATTTTATAGGACCTTTTCCCTTTGTTTTTGCCATCCTTGCAGTACATACGCAACAGTAGTATTTCTGGGTCAGAGTGTTTGTATAGTTTAGTTCCAGATTATTCTCTGCAATGATTGTGCCAGATAACGGCTCTACCAACTATGCATTATTGTGCAATAATGTGTCCTGAGAATGTGATTTTTTTTTTGATGCTTACTATCAGGTCACATTGTATTAGGTGTTTTAAAGACAGATGAATTCAAACATAGTTCTTGTCCTCTCAGAACTTAGAATCTGGTAGGGGAAATGAGATCTGTACAGAAATCATGATAATACAAATTAGGAAATGTGGAACAAAAATAAAGTTCTGTGAGAAGTTGTGGGGAGTAACTAATGATTGCATTGTGTGGGATTGTTAAAATTGGGAGGTGATTATGAAAAAATACGGTGAAGGATAAATAATGTAGAAAAAGAAGTCAGAGTCAAAAATTACTCTCATGTTTCAGGCATGGGTTACTAGGATTAAGGTCAGAATAAAAGAAGAGAAGAGTTGGTTTGGAGTAGGAAAAATGAGTTCTCTTTTTAGCATATTGAATATTCTGGAAAATGATTTGGAACTAATAATAATAATAATCCTAATGCCTAATATTTATATAGTGCTTATTGTCTGCTAAGCACTTGTGCTAAGCATATTACAAATATCACTCATTTCGTTTGATACTCACAAAAACCCTGGGAGATAGGTGCTCTCATCCTCATGTTATAGTAATCAAACCTGTTCATGCCCTTTGACCTGGAAATAACTCTGTGTGCAAGTTTGAGACAAGTGCTGTAGAGAGAAGTTGTGGCTGGAGATAGGTAGAGAATTTTCTCTTGGTGGAATAGAGTGTAAAAGTGAGACGGGGGACTAAAGAGAAGAATCTTATGAAATGCCTCTGGAAGTGGAAGGGAGGAAGGAGTTAGGATTGAGATTTAGAAGAAGCAGAGTAGTAGTAGGATCATACAGGGACAGTAAAGGAAGGCAGAAGAGTGTCAAGGAGACTACCTTGGGAAGTAGTAGGTTGCTTCTTACCAGAGGTCATCAAGCAAAGACCAGATGGCCACTTACTGTGGATGTTAAAGAGATGATTCTAGATGGACCTCTGAGGTCTCTTGTAACACTGAGGTTCTATGTTTCTTAACCTCACAGCCACACACCCCCTTCTCCCCTCCCTGAACATTTAAAAGGTTTGTGTATTAAGGAATTAATGGTTATTTTTTGGACTAAGGCTTTTTTTTTTCGTGATGAGGCAGTTGTGGTTAAGTGACCTGCCTGCCCAGAGTCACACAGGCTAGTGAGTGTTACGCGTCTGAGGCCAGATTTGAACGCAGGTACTCCTGACTAATGATTATTTTTGAAAGTAATTTCAGTAGAATGTGTAGGGAGATT